CACTGCGCCCTGACGAAGGCCCAACTCCCGAGCGTAACAGGGCTGCTCAAGGCACCGCGCTTCGGCACGGCAATGGGCCTTGATGAGGGCCCAGCTCCTAGGCGTCACAGGGTTGCTTACGTTGCGTCTCGCATGAACGGGGGGCGCCGCCTGTAGAAGAGAGACAGCTTATCACTTATCACCATCATCGTCCCCAGCTTCGTCCCTATCATGCTTATCCCCATCCGAATCATCATCATAAGCAGCATTGCCATCACAACCACCACCATATTTAATCACCACCACCAACAATACCATCACCATCGGCATCGGCATCGTCATCATCCTCGTCGTCACCACCATCACCACCATCATCTTTATCGTCATCACCACCACCACCGTCCTCAACGTCATCATCACCATCAGCATCATTTTCACCAAACCCATTCCTGATCATCACCACCACAATCATAATCATCACGCAGGGGGGCGAGCATACCCAGGGCCTGCCCCATGTGGGAGAAAGCGCGAGCCTTGGGGAGAAGCCTCCAGGCCAGGAGAGGGGGAGCATACGGCAATCATGAAGGAACCATGGCTCCTCCTAGAATCAAACCACCCCTACGCGAAACAACATCAACAAACAAAGGTCAACAACGCAAACGGAACAATGTCAACTTAGCTGGGATGGGCGAACGAGGGCGGAGAAGAAGAGGGGAAGGGGAAAATAACATGAAGTTACTCATCGAAATACAGGGGGCGAGCATGCCCAGGACCCGGCACCTTGGGACAAAAAACCCAATGCCAAGAGCGAAGGGGAAACAATAACAACACTATACAACCAAAGTTCCTCCAGCAAGCAAACCAACTTACACGACGCCACATGAACAACAAACTGGGGTACCGCTCCAACGGAAGAAGGTCAGTTGGCCGGGATGCGCGAATGAGAAAGGAGGAGAAGAGGGGATGGGCAGGACAAGTCAGGGGTCCTCCTAGATCCTGAAAACAAACCAGCGCTTGGCATAAGTGCATGCCGGAACAAGCATATCCAGGAGCCGCCCCATGCGGGAGAAAGACAACACCTTATTAGGGAAAGCCCCAGTGCCAAGAGCGTGGGCGAACCAGGGGCCCTCCTAGAAGTCACGAGTGGGGGCGAGCATACCCAGGGCCCGCCCCATGCGGGAGACAGCGCAAGCCTTTGGGAAAAACCTCGAGGCCAGGAAAGGGGGAACACACGGCAAATCATGATGGAACCAGAGTTCCTCATAGAAACAAGCTAGCCCTACGCGAAACAACATGAACAAACAAATGCCCAAAAACAAACGGCAAACAGTTAATATACTGGGATGGACGAATGAAGGAGGAGAAGAGGGGAAGGAGAGGGAAACCAAAGGTGCCCCCTGGAAACAAACCAGCTGTGGCATGCAAGGGGCGAGCATACTCAGGACCCCGGCCCTTAGGGAGAAACCCCAATGCCAAGAGCGAGGGAACCACGGGCATCACATGATACAACCAAGGCTCATCCTACAAACAAGTCCACCCTACACAAAACTGACTGCGTGAACACACCGGGACAACACGCCAACGGAAGAAGGTCGATTCACGGGGATGCGCGAACAAGAAAAAAAAGAGAATAGGGGAAGGGAAAGACAAGCCTCGTTTTCTCCTAGGAACAAGCCAGCCCCTGGCATATTTGCGTGCCAGAATGAGCATATCCTTGAACCGTCTCATGTCGGAGCAAAACAAAGACTTATTCGGGAACGGGAAAACCGCACTGCCACAATCGCGCTGAAAACCGCCCCATGTGGGAGAACGCGCAAACATGTGAGAGAAACCTCAATGTCAGGAGCGCGGGAACATACAGAAACCACGAAACAAACAAAGTTCTTCTGAGAAACAAGCCAGCCCTACGCGAAATCCGCCGACCCCTTGGGGATCATCGGCGTGTGAGATGCTTCCCCCTCCCCAAACCCCTCCCCCGGGAGCCCGGTCCGGTCGATTTGGAGGGGGGGGGGGGTCCGGCGCGAGCGCAGCACGGCCGGGACGAGCGGTTCACGGGGCTTTTCCGGGCCCAAGAGGGCCTCAAGACGGGCCAAGAAGCCCCCAAGAGGCCTCCAAGACGGCCCACGAAGGCCCCGAGACGCCAAACGACCGCTCCAAGACGCCCAAGATGGCCCCAAGACGGGCCAAGAGGTCTCCAAGACGGCCCCCGAGGTCCCAAACAAGCCTCCCAAGAGGGCCCCAAGAGTCTAAAATTGTTGATTTTCCATAGTGTTTTCCGATGTTTTTTGCTTTTCCGCCTTTTCGGCTTCCCGACGCTCCACGACGGCCAAAGAGGCCCCAAAGACAGCCCCAAGATGGCCCAAGAGGCCCCCAAGACGGCCTCCAGACGGCCCAAGACGGCCCCAACACGGCCCAAGAGGTCCCCAAGACGGCCCAAGAGGGCTCCAAGACGGCACCAAGAGGGGCCCAAGAGGGCGACCAAACATGTTGAAACTCTAGCTTTCTGCCCCCAGGAGCCCCA